CTTTGTAAATGCTCTCAGATTTATGAATGAAGCATTCCTCCTTCCCTTGCTATTGCATTCCTGCAATGGCTTTCTGTCTGAATCAAAGGGTGGTGGGTTAGAAGGGTAAGTAATAAACAACCTAAAAACAAAAGGAACCTCGTCTGAGGTCAGCATGACCTGCAGTAATCGCTTCTGCTGCTCTTCGACACACACCAAGGAGCAGCAGTCACCCTACGCAATTCCCTACAACAGGGAAAAAAAATAAAATCATAAAATAAGAGAAAAACAAAGCCTCTTGCTCCAAGCTTACTGCTCAAAAGACACAAAATACTAAGTTCATTCCTACCTCATAATGAATATTTATTTGGAGAAAACCCTAAGACGGAATCCTATCGAAATAAACCCTTGCTTCTCTGGATGCTACATGCAGAAATCCCGTATTTTCCCCAGAAATTCCTAGCCCTTCCAAGTAGAAAACGCTTTGATTGGTTTCTCCTGTAGCCATCCAGCCCACGGATGCCAGAGCCAGGCTGAAGGGAATGGTTACACAACAGGGCCCTGTGGAAGAGGAAAAGCTGCCCAAGGCAAATTGGCTGCTGACATCAGATATTTTCATGCTCTGATTACAGCCTCTCTGTATAGGAATCTCAATTCTGCTGTATAAGGAATGGGTGAGTATCTTCTGATGAAGTAAGAAAAAACCCAAACAACATATCTTAAAAAGAATTTAAGAGATTTGCTTGACGTGGCAGAAGATGTCCACTAATACCAACTTCACTGGCACGTTTCCTATGAGAGCAATGCAGTGGCTACAGCAGCTCCATCAACGTGCAGATGTTTAAGTGTTCACTGATATTTAGGATTGCTTTTTTTTCTTGTAAAAATACCTAATTACTAGTTAGAGGAGAACAGCAGAGTAATGAAAACACTATCTGTCACAATAAGGAACACACCACAGTATATTCTGGAAGCTGAAAACTGAACTAGCTCTAGGCTACAAAAGAAGAAAACTGCAAGGGAGATTTGGTCGGTGGTTTTGTTAACATCCTTCAAATTGACTTTTTTTGTGATCAAATGAGTCACTTGCATTGAATCACATGTATAGCTTGCATCCTTTTGAAATAAGAAAGCAAGATTCTGAGACACAGAACTGCACTGCAAGTGTCCAGCCAGTAGAAAAGGCACTGGAGCAAGAACCAGCAGATCTCTGTTGTAAGGGTGCTGATACTCCTGTTCTTCTGGGTGACTGTCACCTCTGTGCCAAAGGACAGCACTCACCCTCTTTTCAGAGCTGTGCATCAATACCAGACAGAGAAGGGTAAGATGGAGCGATGCCTGTCCAGAAAGTTTCATCCAAGAGATGTCAAAACTGACTGGCTTTCAGGGCATGAATGCAGGACAAATAATTTCTAAAGGCTTAACATTTAATCACGAGGAAAATCTCCATTAGCTGGTGCTGAGATTAAAGCCTGTGCTTTATGGACAGGACTGCACTGACACAGAAACAACTCTGAGTATCTGAATTACGCCAACAGACAGCTCTAATGATCAGGTTTGGTCTAAAAAAAAACAAATTAAAAGTTGTGTTCAATGTAACTATAGTGTATTCTCCTGGCTTGCAGTGGAGCTTTGGATCTCTTCTCTTTTATAAGCAGCACCCCAGCCAACAAGAATTTAGCTTGGAGGAATGCACTGCAAACACAGAACAAATCAAATCAGCCCTCAGATGTTATCTGCTGCTGTCTCATTTCTTCCTCAGACATCTGCTAACCACTGGAATGCAACATCTGGGCAGCTGGGGGAGACAACTGTTTTACCAAAAAGCGCTAAATACAGGTGCTACACAACAGATTACAACACACTGCTTTACCACAGGATGAACAGGTAACAGTCACCTGCTGCAAAAAGGGTGATTAGGTACATCTAGGCTGTGCCACCTTTACAGCATAAAGAGCCAAATTAATCAGAGCAATTATGTGCTAATGATGAGTGACAAAGTTATCTGGTGCAGAGGTTATTTAAAGAAATCAAGATGCGGAGCACCATTTACTTGTTTGCATTTTCCCCCTTGCCCCTGAAATTTGAAGGCTGTAGAAGAATTCAGCAACACATTCAACGATGACAACCATAGGCTTTATACTTAATACTCTACATATTTTAATGTAAATACAGAGGAGCGTACTTTCTTCTATTTTCAAAGGAAAAAAAAATCTGCTTTCATGGAAGTGATTTCATTGAACAGATTGGGAAAGGGATTATGTGCCTTCTTCAGTCAAAATTTTACACAGCATTTCACACTGATCAGTGCTGAGTGACAGACCCAGTGACACACACATTTGATGCAATGATTTGCACAGAACAAGAGGTTTTACAGCCAAACAGCTCAGCAGATTTGAGAAAACCAAATGAAAATTTACTGTAGCTGAAGTGTCACAACTGTGAATTCTATTAGGTAGTGATCAGACTGTAAATCATTTAATAAACTGTGCCACTGCTAGCAAAGGTTTTTGCAGAGAAACAGACTATGATCAAAGAGGGTTGTGTTTAGCCAGCACAGACACACAAAGCACAGGTCTTTATCAGACAACTCATTTAAAAATCGGTTCTGAAAACCTAGAGCAATTTCCATCATTAAAACCAAAGAGGAGCTGAAAACGCACCAATTACCTGAAGCATTAGAGTTATTTTATGCTCCAAATATGTAACACAGATTAAGCTTACTGAAATTCCTGGTAATACACCAGTTTTCAAGAATCATTTTAGGTTGCCACATCGATTCTTTATTATCTCTACAAATAAGAAAATGTTTCTTTTCCAGGTACAGTTTATGCTATCCCTTACTTTCCAAATACAGAAAATTATAAGACTAAGGATCACTGCACATACTCTGCATCAAATCACATCCTTCTAATTCACAAAATGTGCCTACACTGGAATATTCTGATCTCTTCTGAAGATTTTTTCGTATGCACGTGGAGTAAGTCAGTCTCCATTTTTATTATGTACCATACAGAGGACCCTGCCCTCACCATCAGTCATTACCCAACTCTGCCAAAGGCTTACGCTGCGTTTCTGCAAATGTTTGTCCACCCACACACTCAGCTTGCCTGGTCCCTTGCTCCTGCAGTCACATCAGAATCTGATCAAACCCCATTTGCAAACTAAACAGGCTTTTTGGCCCGAGTTTCCAAAATTTGGGAGTGGGGCCTCTCTTCCATTCAAACTAATTTGGGTAACAATGAAAAAATTCACTTGTAAACAGGGTTTCTGACTACACGTTCTTCCGTCGGCGGTTCTTGTTTTCCGCTCCAACCCACATCATCTATTCTCTTCCTTCCACCCATTCTTTCCCCCCAAAAAAGGCTGGCTTGGACACAGCGCTTCAATTTTCTGTAGAGCTTTCTATTTTGCATTCCCATTCTTTTTGCTTAGTATATGAAAGCAGCTTCCTGTTTAGAAACATGGGAGTCCTACACCCTCAGTAATGATGTATTCGAGCCTATCAATGATCTTGGCATGAATGCAATAAACCTTAATAAACCTGATGGAATTTTCTGTGCATGTCATCATCGGTCCAGAAAAAACCAATGCATAATGTTTGTCATCTTGCACTGAGTCAGCTCCCTTCCCAGTGCTCCAGTTCTAAAAGGAATTCTAAAAGCTTACAAGCTTCTACTCAAATATTTCAAATTATACATTTCCGATGCCTATAAAACAAGGACAGAGGCACTAAGAGGGGACTGTGGGGCAGAACTCCCAATATTATCAATACTGTTCTGCTTTTCCAACCCCAAGTCCCTCACAGTGCTCTGCAATCACTCACACTGCTCAAGTGTTACTATCACCTATCATCCAAATCCTAGGCCTGTCCTGTGCTGGTAAATAGGAACAAAACAAACAATATAATCTCTGTTCAACTTCAAAAAAAAAATGCCCCCAACCCACACAGGACCTAGAACAAAATTGTCTTGTTCAAATACATAGGCTGGATCAAACTCCATTTCTGTGGGTTCAAAAAGAGGCTGGTGACTTGAAATAAACAGATTTGTCACTTGTGGAGTTGCATATACATACATTTGTAAGGGCAGTGTTCCCCCTGCTGTATTTTAACTGCAATGAAGTTCCCCAGTGAAGTTACTGAACAGCACTTGAGCCAAGGGGTGCAGAAGCAGACTTGTACACCACACATAACAAATGGGTGTTCTTCTCCATGCAGTGCTTAGCAGCAAAGTGGTTAACCACACTTTATTCTGTATGGCATAATTCTTCAGCTAATGCTACCAGCAAAGCTGCTAGTCTGGAGTTCATGCATTTCACAGTCTGACAATGCAAGGCACACAAACTGTTTAACTCTTCTGGGGGCTTGGTCTGCGTCTACATAAACATCAAAACATATTTTGATCTTTACTATGGGTGAGCAGCAGAGTTAATTTAAAACTGTCAGCAAGTGCCATCCTAATTGAAAGCAAACGACTACTTGTACAACTACAGGGCCTGCTGACACAGGCTACAGGCACCAGTCAGGCAAAGCCAACCACATGTCAATCTGAGGAAATGCAGCACCATCTACAGTCTTACACGAGTTAGAGATTCAAAAATCAATTCTGCAATGAATCCACACAGAAATCTCAAGGCACACACAGAAGGTACTATTTTCTCAGAAAGTGAAGCTACGTCCTACAACTTCATACAGCACTACCACTATAGGAGAACATAAGAACAGCATCTTCAACAAAAACATGACAAGCCAAACCTGAAAGATAAACCAAATTTATTGAAAACAACAAAATAAACACAGGACTATTG